AGTGCCATGTGTCATGGTGCCCGCATGTAAGCTCGGGTGCAGGCCCTGGTCTGAGACACGCATCTTCTATGCAAACACTTAGGAATGACTTCCAGTGACGGCCGCTCTTCATTGCAGAAAGCTAGCAGCAACACGTGAGCAAGAACTGCGGGGGTGGCCACGGACACGAGGGGGCCCCCGTTTAAGCAGCACGAGTGACTCCCGCTGGGAGGAGACGGGGAGGAGACGCTGAGCCTCTGCTTTGGGCATGAAAGACGGACGTGGGGGTCAAGTAGCCGTGAGAGTTTCACGGGACCCCAAGCCAGCCACCACCAGAGGCCCGTGGGGGGGCTTTTATCCAGGTAACTGGGACTTGGGGGGACAGGGAGGCTCGGCGAGCAGGGGAGACAGCCTCTTCTCATTGCCCCTCCAAGCGGGAGTGGGGGGCCGAGGCAGAGTGTGGGGGGGACATGCCTGAGGCCTGGATGCAGGAGCTGTGGGCTAAGGGCCAAGGCCTGAGGGCTTCGCAGCACGTATGCGTCTGACTGGGCGGACACTGAGACAGCGTCTGTGTGTGCGATGAGATTCAGGGCCGCGGAGGGAAAGTTATGGATTCATCCATCAGGTAAGAGTCCAGGAGTGCCCTCTCCACCCCTTCCCTTTGTGCTGCTGTAACCATGGAGGACAGGTGAGAATTGACGAGCTTTGTCTAGTCTGGCCTTTTAAAGCTGTGACATATGCTCCTGGTGTAGAGCAGCAAGGAGCGCACTGAAGAATAAAAGCGTGTTATTTTCCTGGGGGAACCATACTACCTGGGACACCCTCGTTAATGACTGGAACGTTGTGTATCACCTCCCAGGCGGGAACATCAGCTTCCCCGAGTTCCTCTGAAAGCCAACGTCACGTGTGGGACGAGGCCGCACACAACGGCCCAGGGGCCGCCGGCCAGGGCACAGCCACTCACAGCTGTTTGACTAGAGGTGAGTGTCCCGCCCGGGAAACTGCCAGCTGCCCCGGCCACCCCCTGCCGCCTGGCCACGTCCCACCACGCCACACCACCCACCTGCAGCCCGGCCACGCCACACCATGCCATGCCACCCCCCTGCAGCCTGGCCACGTCCCACCTGCAGCCACGCCCTGCCACGCCACACCCTCGGTGCCATGGGCACTGCCCAGCTGTGTGCTCTACACGTACAAGGCCACAAGTGTGATCAACCACCCAGAGGTCCGGCTGCCTGTCGCTACCGGAGCCGATTCAGCAGCCACGGGGCTGGATCCTATATGAGCGTTTATTCCAGTCCTGCGGGCAGCAGGGCAGGGCTGGGGATTTGCAATGCCTGTGGGTGTGCAAAGGGCTGGGATTTGCAATGGCCTGTGGGTGTGCAAGGGCTGGGGATTTGCAATGGTTTTGTGGGTGTGCAAAGGCTGGGGATTTGCGATGCCTGTGGGTGTGCAAAGGGCTGGGGTCTTCAAAGGCTAGTGATATGCAAAGGGCCGGGGTCTTCAGTGGGCTGGCAGCTCTGGTTTCTGGAACAGGTTGTTAATCTTTCCATGATAACAGGCAGCTCCCTGGTGGGGAGGATGGGCTGCACTTCCAGGTAAGCCCCCTGGTCCCATCCAACTCCCAGCCAGGTTAGAATATGTCTTCTTTATTTAACATTTTTAAAAATATATATATATATTTGTATTGATTTCAGAGAGAGGAGGGAGAGGGAGAGAGATGGAAACATCAAGGATGAGAGAATCGTTGATCAGCTGCTGCCTGCACGCCCTGACTGGGGATGGAGCCTGTCACCCAGGCCTGTGCCCTGACCGGGAATCGAACCGTGACCTCCTGGTTCACTGGTCAGTGCTCAACCACGAAGCCACGCCAGCCGGGCAGCATGTGTTTTCTTTAATCAGAACAAAACAGTCACAGTTAAAGGCGCATGACTAATATTTCTTATCATTAGAGCCGGTCCCCGATGTTCTGTTTCTGCCCCTGTTGTTCCCCCGCTCCCATTTTTATCCTCTCGTGTCTGTGAGGTGAGTTTTAGAGGAAAACTCTCGGCCGGCTGGACTCCATTTGCTTCCGCCCTGAAAGCAGCCCTTGGGGATGGAATGCAGCGAATACAGGGCCTGAAAAGAGGAAGACGCCGAAGACGGCAGCGAGCTGTCCGGCTACAGACAATAACAGGAGAAAAAGCCAAAACAATTCCTGCAACCCGGACGGCTGGACCAGGCAAATCCAAAAGCCCTTCTCGTTGTTTTTCCTTGGAGATGATCTCCCTCATTTGTTGGATGTTGTTGTGTATTAATTGAGAATTGTCCGAAAGATTAAAAGGGCACATTCCTTGGAATTCCCCACCGCCGTGGTTATGCTGCAAAAGCAAACCGTCCGGGGCTGCCCGGCCCTCGCACTGCCCCCCGGCCCGGCTCAGCTCGTGATCTACCCCATGTGCAGCCCTGCAGGTGGCGTCCGGGGCTCTTACCAGGTCGCAGGCCAGCTGGGTTGCTTCTACGTGAAGGGAGCCAACCATTACCGGCCCAACAAAAAGGGTTTTACGTTGCCAAGGACTTTGGAAAATTATGTACAGGCATATGTAATTATCACTGAAAAGCTTTATCATAAATCCTTCATTCTAGTTACATCTATTTATTATGTCGGAACAACTTGGAGATTTTAAAGCCGATTATTATTACCCAAGGCATTTTCTTGGCAAGTTTTGTAACAGGAATAACTCACCGGCCTCCAGTGGCTTTAATGGGAAAGTACTACTTTATTTTATTTTTCTTTACGAGATGGGAGGGCCCCCCGCCCCCACTGCTGTTGTGCAGCCTGCTGGAGGGCTCCTCTGCGGAGCTGGTCCTCCTAGGAAAAGACTTGGGGGGCTCAGAAGGTTTTATTTCCCATATTTTTCTTTCTGAGTGGACTGCAACGACATGAAATCTTGCGTATCAGAAGAGATCTTAAAAACAGAAACAAACAAACGAAAACCCCCACAGTAAACAAGCGAGTGCTCTGAAGGGTGGACTGGGACACTGGCCTGAGAATCGTATCTCGCGAACCCAGCTCAGCAAACGGGTGTGAGGGGCACACAGCCCACACTGCAGACAGAGGATCCCCCCGTCCCTCCACAGCGAGGAGCAGCTAAGCCCCAAGCGACAGAAAGCAAGCAGAGCACAGCAGCAACCAAAGTCACAGACAGACAGACAGACAGACAGACAGGAACCCGCCCTGGCAAAGAGTTTCTGGCGGCTGGTGCCTTGAAGCTCCTGCACTCCCTGCCACGGGTCAGCCTGCCACAGCAGCCGGGCCCCCAGCAACGCAGGAAGTGCCCCTTCCTTAAAGAAATCAAACCAAACGACAGAGACACAAAGCAACAATCAACGAAGACACTCTTACATACAACTAGAGGCCCGGTGCACAAAATTCGTGCCTAGTAGGGTCCCAAGGCCTGGCCGGCGATCAGGGCCGATCTGTGGGGCGACCGTTGGGGTGATCGGGGGCTCCCGCTGACACCCGCCTTGACTGGCCTGGGGCCTGCGGGCCTGCGGGCAGCACCTGCATTGAGCGTCTGCCCCCTGGCAGTCAGTGTGTGTCATAGCGACCGGTCGTTCCGCTGTTCGGTCGATTTGCATATTAGGATTTTATTATATCGGACATTTACAGGTATGCACGGCCTACAGACCAGCCTCACACCAGGCTCCCTGTCTGTCCACCTCAGACACCACGTAAAACAACCCCCGAAGCAGAGCAATGTCTCTCGTCCCAGAGGGGCCCAGACTAAGGGCTCGGGGACCAGGCAAGGACCGCTGGAGGCCCCTGACACCTGGAGCTGATCGGGCTCACCCAGACGAGAGGCGGTGCAATGCCCCTGGGCCATGCACAGCACTGCCAGGCACAGTGCATGCGAGAGGCAGCAAGTGCATCTCATGCCACACAAACACGCTCGATTCCTCCTACAAACACGCTTGATTCAACTTAGGTCTCGGGCTGCTAATGAGGTTAGAGGTTAGTTTAAGATAATTTATTAATGAAATAATAGCTTGCACTCCTGCTACTCAACCCTTTGCCACTGATATTATCAGTGGGGCCCTCTCATGTCCCCACCTGTTGGGGATTTTAACCTTTGATTTTGCACTCTGCAGAGACCCCCACCCCCTTCTAGCAACAACCTCTGTTCCCAGGTTTGATTGACAGGCACCTTCCCTACCTTACCCTGACTTCACTGTATATACCTCCATCCCCCCCTTCCTCGGTCCCCTCCCCCCAGGGACCTGCAAAGAATGAACAGGTGGTTCCCTAGGGACAGCGATCTGGTGAAGCTGCCCGGCTGACGCGCCTGTAACACCCGGCCTCCCCTTTGCTCCTTTCCTGTTATTAACAACCAGCTCATTTCCACGGTAACAACATCACAACCCAGGCATTCGCTCCACTGCCGTTGAAGGCGATCCCTTCCACAGTAGCAGGGATCCGGTTACGTAAAATGTTCATACGTGTGCAACCTGGGCATATAAATACAGTTAGCTTGCGGAAGGCCCACTGACACTGCATATGCGTGTGTGAGTTTGAATGACTCCATTTGCTCGTATCTTTTCTGAATTTTTAAATGATTTTTTAAATTGATTTCAGAGAGGAAGAGAGAGGGAGAGAGAGAGAGAAACATCAATGAGGAGAGAATCATGGATCGGCTGCCTCCTGCACGCCCCACTCTGGGGATCGAGCCCACAACCCGGGCCTGTGCCCTGACCGGGAATTGAACCGTGACCTCCTGGTTCATGGGTCGCTAGTTAACCTATGAGCACACCAGCGGGGCTGAAATTTTAAACCATAACTTTTAAACTATGTCCTTGGGAATGTTTGCCTCCTAACGAGTGTCAAGGAAATATTTCTGTTACCCACGTCCTGGGAACAGATACACCATCCAATTCAGCCCTGTCGCCGCCCAAGGCTCTGTGCCGTGATCTCATGGCGGACTCAGAAAAACCCGGAACCCTAAAGCAAGAGGGGTCCTGGTGCCGCCCGCCGCCCCGCTCACCTCGGCAGATGGGCCGGTGGTCGCTCCAGGCGGCCAGCGTCTCGGTGACCCGCTGGCAGGTGATGCTCTTGGAGCCCTGCAGCACGTAGTTGTCCTCACAGGAGAACTGCACGTTCGCGCCGACCCTGCGCAGCACAGAACAGAAAAGGGCCCGTTACCCGGGGAAGACGCCTTAGCAGATGCCGCCCAGCCCTGCTGCCTTCGTGCTGTCAGACCAGCGTTGGCCCTGAGCAACCAGCGGGGCTCTGCCCACATGCGCCCTGTCCTGTAGCAGAGGGCACAGCAGGAGACACCACAGGGCTCAAAGTCCACCTGCCGGCTTCATCACTGGAGAGCTTCCCCCTCCTCCGGGACACACAGGGAATGAGGGACGCGGCCGGGTTGTGCTGAAGGGGGAAATGGGGTGAACGGTGTATCCCGAAGACAAAACCCAGGTGGATGTCATCCCCTGCAAACAACTGTCCCACAGAAACACGCGGAAGAGGTCCAGGTCACGAGAAAGTCTGAGCACAAGAAAGGCCGAGCCGCTAGCTCTGGTCCCATGAGGTCTGGGAAGAGCCAGCTTCACAGAAACAGAGGCCGGCGCGGTGGTGTGGGCCGGGGGGAGGGGGGGAGAGAAAGGAGGGGTGGTGGTTATTAACGAGCAGGGACGAGGTTCAAGGTGAGTCCGTTCCACAGACCCGCTGTACACCTTGCCCCAATGGTCAACACCTCAAAATCTGTTAAGTGTCTTGATTGTAGTGAAATTTACAAGAAAACACTTGCTCCAAATAAACGGGAAATTTCCCAGGAAGGAGTCTACGTTGTTGTCATAAACATTAGTTACGTTCAGAGGAAGGCCGGTGACGCCGTGTCTCACAATCACGCCTCAGGGAGAGCACCGTCTGCTGTAGAAAGAAGCCCCTCGGCCTCGAGTGAGACGCACATCGGCTCTGGCTGCCACGCGGCAGCCCCTGTGCGAGGCCCGCAGGCGGCTC